CAGCATACCTTGACATCCAAGAAGCCTTCGACCGGGTGTGGCACGCAGGACTCCTCTCTAAGATAAAGGACAAATTGAATCCGCAGCTATTTAGCACCATTGCGAGCTTCCTAACTGAGAGAACCTTTCAAGTGGTGCAGGATGGAGTAGCCTCTCAAACCAAACGCATAAAAGCGGGCGTTCCACAAGGCAGCGTCTTGGGTCCCACGCTATATAGCCTGTTTACACATGACATGCCCACAGCAAATGCAAGCAGACGGAATGATCGGCAGGACCTTCTGGTGGCCACGTTTGCTGACGACACGGCAATCCTTGCAAAAAACAAATGTGTGTACGTGGCAACTGACCTCTTGCAGGAATACCTCAAGCGATTTGAAAACTGGGCTTGTAGATGGAACATCGCAGTGAACCCTGGAAAGTGCGCCACGGTTACCCACACTCTACGCAAGGACTCATGCCCCGGACTTTTTCTTCATGGTGAGCTTCTAGAGCAATATCGTCAACACAAGTACCTAGGTGTCACTCTCGACAGACGACTTACATTTAGTAAGCACGTCTCTGCAGTAACGAGCAACATCAAATCTAAGATAAGGCGAATGAGCTGGCTCCTCAACTCCAAAAACAAACTCTCGCTCCGAAACAAGGTCCTAATCTACAAGGTAATCCTTGCCCCAGTGTGGCGTTACGGGCTTCAAGTTTACGGTATAGCTGCAAAAACACACCTGAACAAAATTCGCATCATTCAGGCCAAAACCCTGCGCAAAATAACTGGAGCCGAATGGTATATTCGCACACGCGACATCGCCAAGGACCTCAAGGTTCCAATGGTGGGCGACATAGTCAACAGGCAAGCAGCGAGCTACTCAACAAAGCTCCACAACCATCCAAACATCCTGGCGAGGAGCCTGCTAAGGAGGCGAAGAAGAAGGCGACTGAAGAGGACCTACCCAACCGACCTAATCGATCGTTATGTATAGGTGACAAGCTTCGTTAATTACACCAAAATATGTTTCTGTAATCTGTTAACCTAATTGTATAACTAATTGTAAAACCACAATCATCGCTAAGCTAAGTAATTATGTCACTCTGATAAAAGTTGCTAACATAGAGTAACAGGATACCAGATTTCTTAATAAACAAAATATAAAAAATAAAAAAAAAAAAAAAAAAAAGTCTAAGACGGCATTCTAGCTTTTATTTTATTTTTAGTTTTCTCACTGTAAATAATAACAAATTTAAATTGGGTAATTAGCGACCCGCCTGTCTTTAGCCTGAGCTTTAGACTAGACGGAAGCGAAAGTTTTATTTGTTTTATTTAATTACTTTATATTTTATAAAAATGGGTATTCCTTTTTATAACTACTTAATTAATTTAAAATTTAAATTTACATCAAAATGAAAACTCATTTAGATTGTCATACATTTGGTAGCCACTGTTAATGGCTGCCTAGCAGAAGTCTCCGAGCGCAGCTTCTTGCTCCCGCTGTTCAAAAAATGAATATATATTTATAAATGTGTGTGTGTGTGGCAAGGCAATTCCTTTGCTGCTCCATTGCTGCTGTTGTTGTTGTTGTTGTTTTTGTGTCGCTTTTGTTTCGAGCGTTGTTGTCGCTGTCATCATTGCCCTGGCTGCCCCCAGTCCTGGGCATTGGCATTGTGTTGGTGCAGGCCACGATTGTAACTGCGAGCGCCCCAAGCATAGAAGAGTATTTTTTTTATGAATTTGCAGTCGCCCCACCGAATACAGTCACTTGCCCCTCTCAGTCCAACCATGTGGAATAATCTGGCGCAGCGGCAACAGCGGCCCGAGCCGCAGAACAGGGTTAAATAAGCTGTTAATTATGTGTTTAAAATTTCTGACATGACGCAGTGCAAATTATTTATTTACATTTTATTTTTAGCGTACACATTTGTGCTTGTCATTTACGAATATGCGACATGGCGCAATTTAGATTTCAGATTCAAGCTAAACTCCCCAACATCTGCCCAAACGCGGCGTATACGCAATATGCAGCATACGCCACGTGTGCTTCGGGCCCAGGCAAAGGTGTTTGTATTTGTCATTTTTTGCTACGGGTTTTTTCTTCTTCTTTTTTGTTTTCGTAAGTAAAAAATTGCCCCACATAGTGTGTGGTTGTGCGTGTGTGCCATTTGTCTGCTGAAAATTGTTCACAATTACATTTCCATGCGGTTGAGAAACCTATTTGTTTTTTAAAGCGCAGCATTTTTGCGGAACATACGAAATGTGTGGAAAAAGTTGTGACCAAGAGAAAACCTAACGAAATTTTAATTGCATTTGAAGACAGAATACGAAGTGAGCAGATGCAAAAATTTAAGTTAAAGCAAAATAAAAATAATAAAATTAGTTAAGAGTAAATAAAGGTATTCTAGCATAAACCTTTAAAACATGTCTTGGGCTAATTGAGTTTAAGCGCTATTCGAGCTAGGAACCTTTTGTTTCGCTTATATCTACTAATATGAAAGCATATTTTATGAAAAAGTTGATTAACATATATTGCCATAAAAAAACTCATTTAAAAATTGTACCCTCAAATATTTGATATAGACATAGATCGAAATTTCTCGCCCCCATAACTCGGTCAAATCTCATCCGATTTTTACGAGGTTTGGCTTTTTATTCATGGTTTAGCATCTAGATCAATCGTGCATCTAAATCTGGCAACATTATTTTTGGTCGAAATTCATGTAAAATTGTACCCTAAAATATTGTCTGCATCCTATATAGACTTAGGTTGGATTTTCCCACCCCCATAACTCGGTCAAATCTCAACAGATTTGTCCGAAGTTTGGCTTTTTATTCATGGTTTAGCCTCTAGATCAATCGTGCATCTAAATCCGGCAACATTATTTTTGGTCGAAATTCATGTAAAAATTGTAACATCAAATATCATATATAGACATAGATCGGGATGTAAAATATTTTCATGGGAACAACTTTGAACACACTTTTAAGTATATCTAAGCTTCTGCACTTCTGGGACAACTCTTATTTATTTGTTTTTTTTTTTTGTTTTTTTTTGATTTCTTAACAATTCTTTTCAACTGTCATTCATATCTGTCACCGTCACCGTCACAGTCACTGGCACGGTCACAATCACAGTCACAGTCACAATCAGAAAGTCGCAATCACAAATCATTTGCGCATTTGTTTTGTTTGCTTTCCGGGCGCTAAGATTTCCGCTTAAATAATTCAAAATTTGTCGAAATGACAAATTACCCAACGCTTGCTGCCTGCATGTGTTTCATTAATTCGACGCTGTCGCACACACACATCAAACACACTCGCACACACAAACACACGTGCGCATATATATATGTATATGCACACACGTGCGAGGCGTAAAAGCTCTGGTATTTCATTTTCATAAATTTGGGCAGCCACAGCAACAAATGACAACGGCAAACTCAATCAATTTGCGCGCCTGTATGTGCCTGTTCGTATGTCTATGTGTGTGTGCGTGCCTGTGTGTGTGTGTGCATGTGAATGAGTGCGTATACGTGATTCGGTTTGGCGTATTTGGGCTTGGCCCGCAAAATTTATGCTTATTAAAAAATCAGCAGTGCGCATTGAAAAGTCAACTCGGTTGACACCGCCAGCATGAAATCCTCCGCAGTCTCTGGCCTGTTATTTTCGACCCTTAACTGACCGCATAAATTGACATTTTGACTATGATTCAATTTCTATATTATTAAGCTGATTATGATGTCCATTGGAATCAGAAATTTATGAGAAAAATATAACAAAAGCAAAAAAGTAAAACTCTTTTTGTTTAAGATATAAATTAACAAGCTTTTAATTCCCTGCGTTAGACAGTCCAAGTTCTTTGTTTTAAGTTTAAGTACTTCAAATTTCTTATGGTTGGAGGTATGCGCTGGGCACCAATCAATCAGTCAGTCAATCAGTCCATCACTTAGTCAGTCTGTTATTCATTCAGTCAATCAGACAGTTAAGAAGAAGAAGCATTGCAGAGTGTGCTTGTTTCTATACATATATGTCAGAGTATCTTCTAGTCGGGCACTCAAACTCAAACCGTTTTGAATATTAAGACAATATTTAGTAATAGTAAAATGCAAATGAAATTTGCAATTGGATATTTAAAGAGCATTTGTATGGCATAAATGATTGGAAAAGCGCCTTTTGACTCGCTGTCAACAGCTTGGCACACATACAAAACATGCGTGTTGGTTCAATTTATATATGTGTATATATATAAATATCAAGCATACGACAAGTGTGCCAGTGCTGGTATATGAACTACATGTGGAGACAGCAAATGGCAAACAAGAGCCACCGCCTGAGCAAAAACTACTCTAGCAGCAACAGCAAAAACAATAACTACAAAAATAACTAAAACAACAACAAGAACAACTACAACAACTACAACAACATTAAGTACAACAAATATGACAGCTACATCTACTAATACAGAGCTTTAGCCGGCGGCCGCTGCAGTTGCTGTGTTGCTTGTTTCCTGACGATTTAGCTGATTTATGTTGATTTGTGAGCGAGAAGTGCCAGAGTTTCTAGCAGCAGCAGCAGCAGCAGCAGCTGCGGGAGGGGCAGTGGGCGGCTGGCGGCAGCGGCCCAAAACGTTTGCTGCGACGCCGATGCCGGCAGCGACGCAGGCAGCGAAACAGCGAAAGACAGCGCTTAAAGCCAACAATAACAAGGACTTATAGAAGCTACAGCTAGAGCTACATATACCCAAACCCCTCTCCCCCTCCCTTCCCCCACAGCACACCTACCGCCCCTTTGCAAACACTGAGAGCTGAAGCGTGCAACTTTCGGCCCGGTTTGACTTCGTCTCAACATTCGGATTTTGGCGTTCGGCTAGCCCTTCGTGTTGGACTCTCGCCAGTCGCGCCCAGAATTTTGTGAAGCTTCGTGTTTTACAACACTGGGCCAGCGATTCGTTCTGGCTGCTTTTCTGCTGAGCGCCTCGACGTCGGCGTTCAGGTCCCGAGTCCGTGTCCGTGTCGAGTTGAGTTCAGACGTTTGTCCTCGTCAACGCTGTGTGCAAAAATAGTTCAAAGCGAGCCATAGATACATTTTCCCAAAACACACACACACACACACACATACACACACCGATTTCTGGTAAAAATACAGTACAAAAAAAAATCATCTGCAAAATTAAACAATAACAAATTCAACGATTCATAAATTATTGAAAAATTAAAAAAAAAAAATATGAACAAAAATTGTGCTTCAATCTGGCGTTGGGCGAAAAAAAAGAGGCGTAGCTGCAAAAATCGAAGCCAACTTTATGCATATTTCTTGGTATAGAGAGCGCGTCGTATGCGTGGCTCTTGCTGTGTGTGTGTGTGTGTGTGCGAGTGTGTGTAACGGCAAATACGTGTTTAGAATGAAATTATATATATATATATATATATATAAATATGTATATAAATATATATGCATGTACTATATACAGTCAAAATTCGTTATCAAAAAATAAGTTGCGCATTTTTTGCAAAACGGCACAAAATTTAAACAAATAAAAGCAGCTGAATCATTTGCTCTGACACACACACGCACACACATCATTTTGGCCGTGTTTGCTTGACACACACACACACACGCTCACACACAAAGGCAGCACAACAAAAAAGCAAACCCTAAATAAATACTCAAAAGTGTAGGTAAAAAGGAGTCTGCTGCAACGCGCGCGTATGTGTGTTCGCGAGTGTGTGTGCTTGTGTGTGTTTGTCTGTGTATGAGTGTGTGTGTGTGTGTGTGTGTATAAACGTTTGTTTGCCTGTGGTTGGGCACTCTGCATAAGTTAGGAGCATCGCACCGCGACGTCAAAATCGTCGACGGCGTCTTCGTGCGCGTCTCCAATGCTCGTTTTGGCAGCTGCCTTGCGGCACCCCTTGCCCAACCCGCCCCTTCGCTGCGCCCAGCCTTGCTAACTTGGCTTTGTTTTATTTTGAAGCAAATTGTTGGGTTGTTCGCTCGTTGATTAGCCTGATGAGGCAGCCGGCCCGCATATGCTTTTAATTGCCAAAAACGCGCAGACCCACATATCAAGGCACACACACACACACACACACACATGCACACACACATATACAGCTGGTTTAGTGCTGCATATCTGTAGATAAACGAGGCATAAGCACAGCCGCTCATGATAATGATACTGGCCCCAAAGCTTAAGGGCTTAAAGTCTTAGCCAGCACCTCAACGCTGACAGCTGGGCGTAAGGAATATTTAAAGGCCCTTTTGAAAGCTGGCCAAAAATTGTTGGTATATTGCGAGTAATTTCGGTGCTGCCATTAAAAACTTTGCCAAAAAATACTGTGAGTTGTCTATAAAATCTGATTAAGTAATTTGCAAGTTGGTGACCATTAAATATGCAAAGAGTGGGCCAAAAGTAAGGCGTACGCTTGCATATTAAACGAGTAAATCGGAAGTGCGCGACTTGGAGATACCCTAAAATGAATCTGGGCATACATACTATACATACTATACTATACTATACGTACTATACGTACTATAAATACTATACATACTATTAGCTGAGAGTTCTCGGCTTTTCTAAGATCTAAGATCTAACATATAGCTATATCTCTTAAAGTTCTCGAGATGGTCAGGCTCATGCATGCATACAAAAAATTCAGTCTTTCGATGCTGATCAAGCATATAAATGCCTGATAAGCTTAGAGATGTCTCCTTCTGCCTTCTTCTCCTTCTACCTACATTTGCTCAAAGCTCTTCTGCCCTTTATACCCTTTTTTTAATGGGTTTGGGGTATAAGAACATTCCGTTTTGTAGCTCATCAAATATGTAAAACTCATTAATAACTCTCAAACAAAGGGCAGGCTGTGTACGCAGTTTTAGCTGCAGCTGATTTACGTCTACATATATAAATACAACAACTGATATTCATATCAAACTTAATTAATATAGCAGAAAACTCTTCATCCAGACTCTGTACAGTGCATTGTGTATGTTTACATACATGTGCATGTGCTTATGTAATTTATTTGGCAAAGGCAAAGGCTTAGCTCGCATGCTTTTTAACAAGTTGAACAACAGCAACAGCCATGGCAACAATGCACACACACACACAAACACACACACATACGACAAAATAACAACAAGAACAACAACAACAACAAAAACGACAACATTTTAGCGGCTGGTACCAAATTTAAATCCTTTGCCAGCAAATGCAATCAAAGCAACGAGGCAGGCAAAATTTTGAAAGCAAAAGCCACACACACATATGTAATACAAACACACACACACACACACACACACAAAACCAATTAACGAGATATATGTAGGAGAATTTTGCAAAAACATAAAAAGCATATTACAATGCGGGGACGAAAGGACGTGGCGCCGGAAGGAGCCAAAGCGGCATACAAATCAAATGCGCTTAGAAAAAACAAAAAAAAAAACAAATAAAAGCTAAAATTAAAAATAAAAAGAATAACACACACACAACAATACAAAAGCAAAAGGCCTAACACACAACACACACACACACACACACACACACACAGAGCTAGCAGCTAGTGGCAGGAGCCAAGTAGCAAGCGTTTATGCTAAACAGAGTGTAACTGCCGGGGTTGCCACAGTTTGCCAGTGACATTTTCTGCAAAAGCCAAGTCCAAAAGGGAACAAAAACATGGCCCAAAGCGCACAGCACGGCCAAAGCGACAGACAGCAGCAAAGAGAGAGAGAGAGCGCAAGACAGAGAGAGAGCGAGGCGGAACGAGCCTGAGCAGGCGAGGCGAGGCGGAGATGAGCGCGCCTTTGCAGCCTTAGCATACCTACAAGCGCTGCGCTCACTCACTCTCTCTTTCTCTCGCACTCAGGCTCAGGCTATTTTTGGCTCCATTGCGCTCTCTCGCTGCTCGCGCTTCGCTCTCGCGTCTACAGCCTGGCGCTGAACAACTGTCAACGGTTCTGGTCCCGTTTGCCAACACGGCCAAACGGCTTTCAAACGCGCAGCTGAGAAAATGTAACGGACGGCAAGCAGCAGGGCAGAAAGAAAAAATAAATAAATATTAAAAAAAAAAAAATCAAATATATCTAAGGAAGACGAGAGCTGAAGAAGAAGAAGCAGAAGTGGCAAAAAACCAAACAAAATTACAAGTATACAAAAGAGCCTGCTCATAACTCTGTGTGTATGTGTGTGTGTGTGTGTGCAAGCTTGTGTGCATGTGAGTTTTTATGTGTGTCAGTATGCCTGCGTGCCTGTGTGTGAGTGCGTGCTTATGTGTGTCAGTAGACTTTTACGCATATGCATAGATTTACTTCGAAACTTACGAAGCTGAACCAATTTGATTTTAAGCCAGCTGCGCCCCAACTAAGCCGTTATTTATGTATTTACATATATAATATATAAAATATTTAATTAAAAAAAAATAAACTTGATACAACTAAGACCAGACATTCGAAAAAGTGCAAGAAAATATAAAATTAAACTACACAATTCGGAACATCCAACAAAATTAACAAACTACAGACGAAAATTCATATGTAAAATGTTTAATTGGAATACAAACAGAAATTTGGAATGTATGAAAAAAACTTAAACTAGAACTAAAATAAAAGTTAAAACATAAATAAATAAAAGACATACAAAATAAAATTAAATTAAATTAAATAATGATAAACATTGCTACAAAAAAAATAAATAAACAATATACATATGTTGTATCTTGGCAAAATAATACGTAAAGAAAATTAAAATTAAATAAATAAATATTTATAAATAATAATCAAATAATGAAGTAATATAAAAAATTGGATATAAGTATATATACATAAATTAAAAAATTAAATAATATAAAGGGGTCATAAAGCAAATATTTTGATTGGAGCTAATTTCTAAAAATTGGGTCTATATAAAAAATAAATAACATAAACAACCTAAATTATCATTGATAAAATTGAGATCAAATAAACAAATATACAAATAGAAATTAATTCAATAATTAATTAATAAATTAAAAAAATAAAAATCAAAATTAATTCTACAAATAATATAAAATATTCAAGTTTAACTATTGTGTGCTTTTAATAGATAGTTAAAAAAAATATAAGAAATACTATTGAACAAAATGAAATAAATAGTATAGAAATGTTTCAATATTGATTCTTCAAAATTTTCAGTGTTTATGAAGTAATATAAACTAAGAAAAAGAACACACAAAATTATTGGAACCTAAAATCGTAGTAACAATGTCAAAAGTTAAAGCCAAAGGCAAAACAAACAAACGAACAATTTCCAAACCAAACACATAAAATGAGACAAGTCGCCTGCAACAACAACAACAACAACAACAACAACAAAAACAACATCAAGAGCAAAAACAACAACAAGTGGCGCTGGTTACAGGTCGAGGACAATAAAGGCGCCGTGGTACAATAACAATAAGCAGGACATAAAACAGGCAATGGAATGGAGCGTCTATTTGGATGACGAACTGAAGGACCGTAAGCCAGAGATAAAGATGAACAGCATACCGAACAGAGCCTAGGCACGCATACGCAGCACATAAAATGTGCACACTGAACAAACGTAAAATGCTCAACGACCAGAGAGAAAAGTAATTAAAAGAATATAAAAAAAAAGCAGACAGGCTTTAAGAAGAAGGCAAACAGAAAGTTAACGGACGAGCGCAGCAGAACGGAGGTGGGCTAACAACAACAACAACTTTGGAGCAGCAACTGGCAATTGATGTGGCCGAGGACAACAGCGCGCAGCAGAGGAACAACCGACACGAGAGCAACAGCGAGGCAGCAGCAGGAGCAGCAGGAGGCAGTTAGAGCAGGAACAGACACAGGAACAGGAACAGTGGCTCATGCCAGTCTGGCCATACCGAGTCCAATTGAACTTGAATCTATATCGGATTCGGTTGTGTTGTGTCAGCTTCTGATGCTACTCGTGCTGGCATTGTTCTGGTTGAGCTACGCCTGGCCGCGCAGTCAAACGATCTCGCACTGGCAGCGCATGCATTGAGACACAGGCAACAGGCAGACAATTTGCAAAGTTAAACGCACAGATAACACACACACACACACACACACAACACAACACAACATACACTCACACGCATGCACTGATGTACTGACTGAATGCCTCGCTGCCTAAAACAACCAACTAACTCACTGACTGAGAGACTAGAGCGCCACAAGAGATAAGAGAAGTTAAGGAAGAAGCTAGCTAAAGCAGAAGACTCAAATCAACTGTACCAGAGGAAGCAGAAGAAGCTTTACTTAACTAATTACTGCAACTGTAACTAAAACATCAACTAAAACTTACTTTATAAACAACAACCAAAAAAATATAAAACAAAGCAAACCTTTTTAATGCCACGCAACTAACTAAAGCAAACGACAACAACAACAAGAAAATTTTTAACTAAGCAATAATTCGCAACCACGACTACCAATAACCAACCTTCCAAACTTTGTGACTTTGCCACGCACCACAACAACAACAACAACAACAACAAAAGCAACAACAACTTGCACCACCATGAGTGTTTCAGCAATGGATAAATTAACTATACTGACGCCCCGCACCCGCACACCCCTGCTAACAATTTGGCTGGCCATTAACATGGCGCTAATCGTACAGGAGACGGGCCCCAAACGGAGCACCACAGTGCAGTCTGCGTAAGTTTTGATTGAGCTAATTGATTGATTACTCACTTTATATTTAGCTGTCGCACGAAAGATAGATTACGCTTGCAATCAGGTTCAAACCGGCATTGATCTGATTCTATATCATACTATTACAACTTGATTGATGAACTAGTTGATTGATTGAGCGATTGATGTAGAAAGTCTCACCCTGATTTTGTATTGGTTCTTGCATGTTAGTGAAAACATGATTGAACCTATTTTTTGATTGATTGATCATTTTTAGTTGTCGTATGAGAGATTGATTATGCTTAAGATCAGGTTCAAGCCGCGTTTGAATTGGATTTTGAACGAAGTTTAGTTATAAGCTGTAAATCTTGATTGAACCAATGATTGATTGATTTATTGATTGATCTAACAGCTTCACGTCTAGTTGTCGCATTGGAGATTAATTATACGCAAAACCAGGTTCAAGTCTCTTTTATACTAGTTCTAGAACGAAGTTTTACTACAATAAGTTAGACGATTGACTGATTGATGCAAAAACGTCATATTTAACTGTTGCATGACGCATAGATTTAGTTCAAAATCAGTCTTCATTTTTCTGTTACTTAAAACGATGTTTTACTGAACAAGCAAATTTATAGTCAAAAATCATGCCAAAATTGAGTTGTAAAGTGGCCAAATTTCTATAACTTTTCGATATCTTAATAAATGTGCATGATGTGCATTATAGACCTCTGGGTTGCCAAAATTAATGCATATTGGCATGTCAAATTTGTTCGACTATTTTTGCATCATATAGCCCACATCCCAATTGTCATAATTTGTCAAAGTTTTGTCATTTGTTAATCTTGGCTTAAAAAATATTTGCATATGATGAACAGGGTCATAAAAGTTTCTTCCTGCTTCTGCAGTATGATGCATATTTTGTTTCGCTCCAGATTGTAGAAGGAATAAAAAACGCTTGAGTTGAATATTTTAATAGAAATAAATTTATTGTTGCGGCACTTTGCTGCATTGCACAACTGCAGCGGCCCCTGTGTGTGTGTTCGTCCCAATGGAGTCATAGTTCATGATAATTTATGATTATACAAAATTAGTTGACTGCAAAATGCGCAACGTGTAAAAGCTGAGCCTCGGAGCTGGTCAACTGGGCTAATTAGGCGCAATGACAGCTTGTTTCGAGCGGGTCAACAGTAAACTACTACAGTGAACACTACAGCTGAGGATTACTTTTTTTTTTTTTTAAATGAATGTGGGCAATTTATTAAGCTCGTCATCGTCACATTTGCATGTGGCGGCTATTAAAATGCGACGGGCCTGAAAAATGACAACTGCCAGGCGCAGCGCTTGTAATTACCAACTAGTTGAAGGGCTGCCTGGACAGATGGGGTGGGGTTGGCTTGGGTATTTGTTGAAAGTGTGTTCTGGTTGTTTGGTTTGGTTTTCGAAAGGTGCATGCGACATATTTGATTAGCGGCCCAAAAGAATTGTACACAATTTGTGGCATTTGGCAATGTATTTCTTTGCCTTTTCGAGTTAACGCTCATTAGGCCATATTTAGGTGCAGCCCTGCAAGGAGGTGCGGCAACAGTGCTGCCAGTTGTCGCTAAAAAAAAGTAGCTAAATTATGCAGCTCGAATTAACGTAACTTGAATAGGCGAACAATTATTTCGCTCGAACGAGTGGGGACTCACATTCAGTTCGAGTTGCTTTAGTTGCAGACAAAAAACAAATTAAGTCTGTGGACTCGAACGAGAGCTCAGTTCAATTTTAAAAGTAAGCCGGAGCTCTTAACTCGAATACTTTCGATTGTATTCAAGATAATGGTACATTCATGTCTTAATTTACATTGACACAACACCAAACTAATTTGATCGAACATGTTGCTGATTCGAGCAGTATGAAAAAATTGCTAAGCAGTTCGAATTTTGTTGGTATGAACGGGTTGGGTGATGAGTTAATTCGAACAGTGCTTATTTCGAGGATCTAACGCTCACGCCTATCGGTTTTCAGCTAAATCGATTGCGTACACGAGTCTGCTTAATAGAAACTAAATAACAAGCTCTGAATATAGCCAAATTTAGCTAGAAAATGGCTGAGTTCGCAACACATATAGAGACAAGATTTGCATAAGCCGCCCAAACAGGCAATTTAAGTAAATCAAAAGGTTTGGGGGCACACTCCAGCGGCGGATAGGCAACTGCCACTAACTAGGAACTGAGACGTACAAATGCACGTTTATGGGCTTAGCTGATCGCGTGTGCTGCTACAAAACAACACGGGGTCAGAGGGCAAACAGGCGACTGGCGGCAGGCAAAGGCAAAGGCAAAGGCAAATGTCGTAGAAATGTGGCAAGTGGCACGACTTTAGCACAGTTGGCTGCTTATTTGGGCCAGGCGGTGCGGCATTGGAGTTGAGTTTACGCCACTTTTTCATGCAACATTGCACAGGCGACACGGCCACACATACACACACATACACAGAAATCGTGCAGCCTTGCACACACACGCGCGCAGCTGCCGCTAAGAAAGGTTAAAGGCCAAAGCAACACAACGACACAATTTGCCCGCACAAAAGTCCAACGTCTGCTGCTCACTTTTAGACCCTTCAACTTCCTGCCTGCCTGGCTGCCTACTGGAGGAGACTGGGCAAACGGACTCGGACACGGACTGGCACTGGTAGCTGCTGTTGCCTCTATCTCCCGCTGTGTGCCCCGTTGTGCAGCACTTGCCACACAAATGCGCACTTCACTTGGAATTTATTGATGGCAGATAATGCCGAAGTGCCAGCGACAAAGCAACACCGCCCAGCTGATGACAGAAGCAGGAGCAGAAGCCTGTGTGTGTGTGTGTGTGTGTGTGTGGCAGGCTGCACCATTCAGCAAAAAAAAAAAAAAATAACAGAAAGCTTAGTATCGAAGTTGCAATACCCTTCAATGTAGCACACAGTTTCGACATATTTCTATTCCAGGCCGCAACAGAAAATATTACAAAAGTGCAGTGGGATCTGAACCAGCAACCTCACTCTTGCTAGTCCGAGCTTCTGAAAAGATTGTTTCTATGGCAGCCATATGATATAGAAGTTCAGTAGCATATATAAGAAGAGTGCAGTAGGGTTTGAACCAGCGAGCTCACGCTTGCTGGTTCAACGCTCAGGCATCTAAGACTCGCAGGCTTCTGATGCCACGCTCGCAAATATTTACATATATAAATTCAGTTTCATCAAAATAACAACCCGATATTCCTTATGAATGTCACCTGCTGAGCGTGACATAATCTATGTCAAAAGTGAGAATACCCTCAACAGCAAGGGTATAACGAAAATCATCGCTGGCTGGAGACGTTGGCAGCAGCTGCGACAACAGCCCGCCGTCGAGTGCCATTGAGCGTAAATTGTTGTTCCTTCACATTTTGAGGATGATTGAGAATATCCACAAAGGGGCTGCTTCCAAGCGAAAAGGGGGCCTTTTAGGGTCGCAGTTCAGCCAGCCGCTGCCATTTTCTATTCGCTTTTCAAATATTTAATAAAGCCCAGACACGGCAACTTCACAATCTATATATTTTTCTTTCATTTTTTTTTTTTGTGTGCCAGCCTTTTTCTCTTTTCAAATGTATCTCGTAATGCAATTCGACCAGCAACTATTTTTGCTAGCCTCGCTGCTATTTGCCCTAGCCTGGTTTTTTATAGTCTATCTCCGTCCCCCTCTTTCTCTCTCACTCTCTCTCTCTCTCTCTCTCTCTCTCTCTCACTCTGTGTGCTGTCTGTTGATGTTCATTTGGAAAATGTCAAGGACTTGTCAAAGTAATGCAATTTTTTATGCATTTTCCTCACTTTTAGCTGTCACATCAATTGAATTTCAAATTTGATTTTATCAAAGAACAAATCATTGTGAAGGCTGTAGAACGGGTTAGCCCATAAAAACATATAAGTAAGGGTATACAGATCTATATTGAAAAAGTGTTTGTCCCGAGAGACTGACTGACTGACTGATTGAGTAACTGACTGACTAACTGACTAACTGACTAACTGGCTGACTAACGGATTGATTAGACTTTGGAAGCTGAAATTTATATGAATGTTGGCTTTTGGGTTGAATGTGAGCACTTCGCACTATGTTGGTTGAAGAAAGAGAAACTGAAAATAAATTGGCTCCAAGAACAATACTTAAAATGCTTCTTTTGAAATAGTAAAGGGAAGAATCTTATTTTTCAAAAAAAGTAAATGTTTTCTTAATATAAAACAAGAATGCAAACTTGTTTGCCATGCAGCTGTAAGCCATATTAGAAGTCTTTTATTGGTATAACTGAGCTATACTGATAAAAAACTCTCTATAAAACAAACTACATTTAGAAGACTTTATACTATATATAGAAATAGCTTATTGTGTCCCACGAGCGAAGTCTAATTGAGCCAAATATAGCAATCGATTGAGCAATTGGTTTAATTGAACTTTGATTACTTATAATAAGCTGTCCGGCTTGAGGTTTATGTTAGTTATTTGTTATATAAATATAAGAAACAACAAGGCAAAACTCATCAAAATTAGTAGGTTGTTGGTAAACTGAACAACAGAAGGTTTGCAAGCGCTTTGTTGTCGAAGCCTTAACTTGTTGAGAATTACAAAAGTTAAGCAATGCGACAAGCAAAGCGCCCATATTAAAAACTTCACGTTCTGTGTTTGAGCCAGAAAAACTGTGCCAAATATTTACGACTCAAATGAATATTAAACCCAAAAACTACACGACAAAAGCTCTCAATATTTGTTTATACATTTTTAATCAGATAATCCGAAAAACTTTGATATTATATCTTTAATTTTCCGTTAACTTGTTGCTTTAATATTTTTATGTGCTCTTCCAATCATGTTGTCACACCCACATAAAATCCTACTTTCCGTTGGTCTTTTTTTTTACCACTAAATGATGTTGGCTGTGTGTGCATGGGCGTGGTCAGCGCCAAACATGTTTATCCGGCCATTTTTTTTCCCCCGGCCCGGCCCCGTCCCCGCACGCTCCGCACTTCAGCTTCGGCTGTGGAATATGTTTATTTTTAGGAAACGTCAGGCATCAAGTTATCACTTTATTAAAAAACGCTTAGTCACATGTTGGGTATCACAATTGCCGCGTAAAAGTCCAGAGTCACTTACACACACACACACGCACACACACACACAGGCACGCATACTCATACAAAGACGCAGCGTTTTACTGCGCAAAATAAAGGCCTTTGCCAAAGTTGTGCTTATCTTGGCGCTGGCATTGCCGTTGCCAGCTAGACTTTTGTCTGACATGGGTGTCCCGGATTCGGAGAGAGAGAGATAGAGAGAGAGAGAGGGAGATAGAGAGGGATAGAGAAAGAGAAAGAGACCGGGACAGGAAGGTGGGGCATGCTGACTGGCAGCAAGATAATGTTAGCTAGCTGTTTTTTCGCATTTCCGCTTTGTTTTAACATAACACTTGAATTTATGCAATGGCGCGTGTCCAACGCAGCGTATACGTAATGGGCCAGCGCTCAAAGTGCCACTAAAAACGACAACGGCAACGCCGACAACAGCAACAACAACAACCACAACAACAACAGTAAAAATAACAACAATAGCAGCGGCAACAAACAATAACAAAGATATTTCTTACATTTTCATTTGCGGGCCAGCAGCATAAGTTACGCAGCCACCAATGTTGGGGCGTTGCCACAGGCGCACACACACACAAAAACACACACACACACAAATACACACACACACACAAATACACACAAATAAACACACACACACAACAGCTTCAGATAAGACAACAAACTGTGTGGCCAGCGATAATATGGCGGATGGTGTTGGCATAACACTCGGCGACACGTTTTGGGCCTGGACCATGCTCACTCCTGCGCATGACATGCCTTTCTTATAGCCCATCGTATTTCTTGTTGTTGTTGTTGTTGTTTTCGTAACAGTTACAGCTTTTATTGTGATGCTGCTGCTGCTTGAAACTTGTGCAAGCCACTTTGCAATTTTGTGTTGCAAAAAGCGTTGCCTACTTATGCGCGCATTTATTGCATGCAACGCGCACAATGTGCCAAATGTGCTAAATAAAATTAATAATGCAGATCTTAAAAGAAGTTCCTATGTCTTATTGTCGTTTGTGTTAAAAGTAAACATAAATTCGCTAGTTTATGTACAAATAAGTAGTATGTGCATAATGCGAACGAGAGCTTGTTTATGCATAGTTGAAGCGAAGTTATGTTTATTTTCTGTTAGCATTTCTTTTCAATGTAACTAACAGATTTTTAGTTTTTTTATCTTAGCAAAAAATGGAAGAAGTGGAAAAATGGGCATCATGGGCACTTTATACGCCAAAAGAAAGCTTGTTAAGGCAGAGTTGAAGCAAACTTCTAACAACTTCTTGTGGTCATTGCTTTTCAAAAGAAGTGTATAAATAATGAGCACAATGGACACTTTTCGGGAATAAAAAACTAATATATCAAAAACTTGAGATACTTTGTGCACAAAAAAGAACCTTCATAAAGTAGAGTTGAAGCAAAGTTCTGACTTTTTGTAATCATTTCGTTTGTTTATTAAATTAATTAATTAAATATTGTTTTTGTGTTTTATTTATATGAATAAATGTAATACAATTTATTCTATAGTTAGATCTAACATAATAAATTAATCAAAACAGATTGTTTATTGTAAATCGATCCAAAATATCGATTGGATGAGACCTTCGCAATCTCCTCCGCATTCGGAATTCTTCAATTCTGCGTCCCTTTAGAAGACACTTAGCCAGTCGATTGGGAAAAAAAAGAATTATCAGAAGTATAAAAGATGCACTCGATAAGTATGCATAACATACTTCAGATACTTTCTATCTGCATACAGGGCATCGGCTAGTCGAGCAATTGTCACACAAAACTCACAGGGTTTTACAATAAGATAACAATCAGTCAATACTACTTACTGCATGTCTCAATAGGCAAATATTTGGACGCTGCTTCAATATTTTCTAGTGCACTCAATAACGAGTGCCACACACACACACACACACACAGACCCCCCACACACACATATACACTCACACATGTGTACACATGTCTGTTTTGTGGAGTGTGTCCCGCGCGCAGCTGCATAAATAAGTTGATCAAATGTGGCATAATAATTAGTTCAGCTGGCTTGCCAGCTCATTTGCATATTACGTATACGCCACGCTGCCAGCTGGCCACGCCCCAATTTTGTCTATGGCAAATGCGAGGCGCACTCTGCAAGCAATTGCCGCGACAAGCTGTCAGTGGGTAAGATTAAAATTTTGATGACATTGCTTGTTGTTGTTGTTGTTGTTCGTTATGTTTTTTTTTTCGCGAGCGGAAAACAAATATTGCGCATACGCAGCGGTGTACGGCAGCGAAGTGCCCGCACGCTGCTAATGCTGTCATTTCTTAGACTCAAATCAAATAGCAATCAAAACTTTTTCATTATCCACAAAGCACAGGCAAACCGCATATCAACTGTTGTCAGGCCATTGCAGAAGTTACCAGCTAGAAGCCATTTATATATATATATAAATAATACTTATACTTACACACATAAATACATATTTATAAATAGGCTGCCATTTTTTCGCGTCGGCTTTTGCTTTAATGCCAACGCTGCGTATACACAAAAGCCGACAGCAGGCGAGACAGTGAGAGCAGGGACAGAGAGAGAGAGAGAAAATAGAGAGAGAGAACGGGCGAAAGAGAGAGAGGGGGGGAAAAAGGGTCTATGTGCCTTGATTACAGCTTGCAGCTGGCTCCTAAATTAAAAACAATTCAGCTCTAATAATAATTAGCTTTAAAGGTGAAATTTCAAATTTGCGTACAGAAATGCTAAAATGGAAACAAAAATTAAAAAATAAAATAAAAGTGCTTTTATCAGGAGTGTTCGACTAGCGAATACCCTGAACCACCTTATACCAAGAATCTAACATTGCCTGCATACATACCCTGACCACAGGCAGCGCACCTTAGACCAGGCCTTGCTTGTGCTTCTCTTGACTACATACTCCATATTCCATAAGGGAAAGTCATTCTGAGTTAACTCGAGTATTCATCATCCAATCTTTATAAAATGTTTATGTAAACCAGAGAGCCAGGTTGGACCCACAATAATCATTTGTTTTCCAATTATGAATTAATAAACCAGTGTATTAAGTTCTAATAATATGCGAACTGTGCTTAAAAACCTAGTCGTAGAATCGAAATTTTTCCATATCGTGAAAATGTGAGATGATATCGAAAGAAAATAACATGATTCAACCGCATTTGATACAGAAGGAAATATATATTTAAGATAGGATCTTGGTCTTCCGAGTTCGGAAGATGGACAGACAGACGGACATGAGTATACATACAAACGGACATAGCTCCATCAATGTGTTACAAACTGAATGAGATACTAGCAATACCCTTTAGATGGGCATTAAAGCGCAAACACTTTTGAACTGCGCGCGCGCACAAAACAGAAGAAAGTAACTCATATTGGCTGTTTATTTGCAGGCGTAACTTTTATTAAATTGTGATTTCGCTCACGCACACACAACAGCAGCAAGCACACACACACACACACATACACATACACGCACACACTCACGCACACATGCAGACTTGAGTGTATAGCCGAGCAGCGAGACAGTTAAAATGCCAACAAACGCGCTTTAATAGCACAGTTTAGCGCAGAATAGACGCAAATAAACACAGTCATGGTTGTGCCTTCAGCGCCAGGGACTTGCCATAAATAATACACACACAAGCACACACATGTACAATCTCGCATGTGTAAGCACACATGTATATATATACATATATATATATGTATATGCATTCACATAAATAAATATTCGTATGTCCCTGGCTATGGGTTGTGGCAGCCCGTTTGACTGTTTGACTTTGCGTGGGTGTGTGCACTTGATGCCAAATAAAGTAAATGTGGCACAAAGCACACACACACACGCACGCGTACGCACACATATAGAAATATACCCATATGCAGGCACACACACACTCACATACCTGCAGCAGCCGTTTCCATTTCATCCGCTTTCATACCCCACAGCCATAAAATGTCTGGAAAAAAAACAAGGGCTTAATAAAGTTGTATAAATGTAGATAACAGCCAAGAGGAGGCGTTTCCCAGCATATAGAGCGTACAGCTCTATCGTCTAGCCATGTTTGTGCCTAGCTTTTGCCATATTCTTAACAAAAATTAAATCTAGGTTTCGTATACAAAGCAATTTTATTTTTCCTTTAGCTGTGAACAAAATCAAATCGAATTGCCCACAAGCTTGCAAAAGCTATGCTTATTTTATTCTAATTATATTTTATATATTGTGAAATTTTTTATACTCGTTTTTGTTTTTCAAATCGAACTCAATTCAAACTAGAGGCTCTTTGTCTGCAAATTACACAACAAAATTATTTGCCACTTGCATTTAACTGATATTCGTTCGAGCGACGCCGGGTAACTACCTCTAGTACTACTGGCGGCCAAACCATGAATTAAAAGCCAAACCTTATGAAAATTGGTTGAGTTTTGAGTGGGTGGGAAATTTTGACCCATGTCTGGGATGGGATTTTTGAGGCTAACATTACTTGCGTCTCTAGACTTTTAAACATTTCAAAAGGCTTTATAAGTCGGTCTGCTATTGCTGTTATCTGAACAACTATTTTATTTGTGAACATATCTTATACTTACAATTAATTGCTTAACGAGCCTAGCTATTAGCCACATATCTTGTCAACATCCTGCAAATATTGTCAACCTCTATATCATATAGCTTATATAGAAACAATCGGATAGAAATATACCTTTATTGCATTGTAATACGCCGCACAGCGTATTTAATATTCGTTGTGCCAAAGCTAGCTGTTTTTGCTATAAATATGAGTATAGCTAATTTTCATATGATTATACCTAATTTATTTAACATGCATTTTCTCTTCTCTTCCCCTCTTTAGAACTGGCGGCGGCAGCATGTTGGGTGACGTAAACATATCCGCTATACTCGACTCCTTTAGTGTTAGTTATGACAAAAGAGTAAGACCCAATTATGGTGGTAAGTACAAGCGTCATATTTAAATACAACAACTAGTTAAACACACTAAATAGGGTTAGTTAACGTGACTTGAACGTGGGCGGGCACAACGTATATTCCATACCATATATATTATTTAGTATAGTTCAATATTAGCTGAACTAATTCATATACTTTTCAACTGACTAACTGTTAAGTAGCGTTATTTTGTTCGCATATAAAAAATATATCTATATATTTATATGTATATAACCATGCCAAAACAAACTGTACGTGTTTCAGGACCTCCTGTCGAAGTCGGAGTCACCATGTATGTGCTATCAATCAGCTCGCTCTCAGAAGTGAAAATGGTACAAACTAAATGACCTTTGTACCTTTAAGCTCTCAAAACTCTCTCTCTCTCTTTGTCTCGCTCGCATACTCTCTCTCTCTCTATTGTCTCTGTTGTTGAAATATAATTTATTTTGTATCTGACTATTTCACATTACTTAAAACATACAACTTGTGCCACACAATGCTTTAGTTTGTTGCCAAAAAAAAAAAAAACAAGAAAAAGTTATAAAGATACACGTCGTGTTCACACACACATACATATCTCTACACACACACACACACACACACACACACTACATTTTCTTTTTGATATACGAATTTGTAGAACAATTTTCGTACTATTTTTAATGTACTTGTTTCTTCTGCCTTTACTTAAGTTATGATTCGTTCTTTTTCGTTTATAATTTAGCTCAACTTATTTAAACTTCTCGTAGGTTTCTCCAGTTAGTGCTGACTCGTATTAGGTTGAGCTATGAACTAAACTTTTATAAAAACTAGGTACCTTAAGTAGCCGAATCGAAACGTGAAGCTGCACTCAGTTAATTCGAATAAAATCTAAAAAAAAAAAAATGATATTCTCTCTCTTAGTAACTGTGAACTCAAAACTAACTAAAGATTGGCAATGCTTTTTTCTTCTACTTAACAATACGAATTCACGCTTTTATTTAGTGTGTAAATTTTTGAAACGAGTTTCTCTCTGTGTGTTTGTGTCGTTGACAATTTGAGTACAATTTGTAATTGGTGCAGCACAGATAGCAAGCTTTACCACCCAATAACCCCCCGGCAACCGGTCTCACACACTATTCCCAACGAAATATATAGAAATTCATGCCATTCAAACCATTTTATCCCAATTTCCTACCACCACCACACACTTACACAATGAAAGCAAAACTTACTTGCGTTCACTTCATGGTCTTTTTGTGTTCGTCTACTTCTTCTTCTTCTGCTTCTTGTTTTTATAGGATCACACACATATCATACAAAGCTTTTAAGATACATTTTCTTAACTTGCAGCTGCCAACCATTCAGAACAATTCAAAGCTTTTCCAAATGGTGTGTTAAATCCGCTATCACAGCAAAAAGAATACAAAAATATATTTTTTTATGTTACGCTAGACTTTATTATGAATATATTCGAAATACACTTAAAAAAAATACATAGCTTTCATATAGCTGGGCCTTAAAAGTATATAAAAAAAAAAAAAAAAAACAAAACTCAAATAGTTGATTTGGTTTTCATTCGGCGCGTGCAACAAGACAAAAGCAAAACCTTTGCACACTTTTAGAAAATATGTAGAAACAAATTATGAATCAAAAACTAAGAAAAACGCGCACAACTGTACATTGTATATTTAATTTTGCTAAAGAAAATTAAACAGCCACAAATAAAAGTCGGTTTTTGTGTAAAATAACTAATATTAAACTGAACTCTGGCATGTAGGCTGTACCTGTACCAATTCCCAACAAGTTAAAGCTTCGAAAGGGTTGCCAGACGTTTACAATCTTAGCGAAATCTGTTGATGATCGGAAACGTAGGATTTTCGTTAGTTATAACACAAATTATTCATAATTGCCCTCAAGTCTCAGTTCAGCTTAATATTAGCATATAATATATATATACCTTCGGGTTATAATAAAGATAATTGTAAGGCGTACTGCCAGCTCTTGGTAGTTGACAGTGACAGCAAAAAGTCTCTGTCTATGTTATTTTTGCAATGGTGTGCGTGTAATTATTTAATATTTTTGTTGGGCTCCACACTAACAACAACAACTATAAACAACAAACAACGTTTTAGTACAACAACAAGAACAACTAAAAAAAAACAACGACAATTTGAATAGATAAAGAAAAAAGAAAACAAACAAACCCTCAACCTGTCTGTGTGTGTGTATATGTTGCAGGTCCCCCTGTGGAGGTCGGCGTCACAATGTATGTCCTCAGTATCAGTTCGGTTTCGGAAGTTCTCATGGTACATACCAACCAAATATACCAAAAAAAAAAAAAAAAAATAAAAACATTTCCAAAAAAAAAATAAATGAACAAATTTAAACAAAAAGTGACAATCAACTTTTCTGTTTCTTAAAGTCAATCAAAAGTTAAATCAAAAAAATATATATATCATATGTCAACTTCTTAATTTAACTCTCTAACAACTCTGTACCCCAGCTATCTACCCAACTCTCTCTGTCTCTCTCTCTCTCTCATTCTCTCTCTCTCTCTCTCTCTCTCTCTCTCTCTGTCTCTCTTCTCTGCCTTTGCTCTTGCTTAACACACGTTTTGTGTACACATTTGTTCGTTATTAATTTCGCTTTGTTCACATATATTTTTATTTATTTGTAAATCATAATCTTTTGGTTTTGAGACATTCGAAGCAAATCGCAAATTTCCAATGCATATATACCCATTATACAATATATAAACATTATTTAATATATATAAACATATATTCTACAAAATTTTTAACAATTAAATGTTGTGTTCATAATTGTTTTTGCAATGCCGTCAGTTTGTCATTGAGCCAAAATAAAGTACAGTCCGAAAAAAACACACAAACATAATGCATAACATTTTGTAGATTCAATCTGTTAAAATTTGACTCAAATATTTGTTTATCAATCGGTTGAACTTTCCATTTTCTATACTATGCTCTGCTCTTGCTTAAAAACTCAACGCTAATTCGTAGAATCATTCTTATACCCTTGTTATCTAACGCTTCGTGCATATAAAGAGACATATCCGATGCCATAAAGTATATATTTTTGTGATCAGCATCAATAGCCTGGTCAATATATCCGTCTGTCTGAAAAATAAGTATTTTTTTTATGGAAAATTTGACTATTTCTCACTCATATCTTACGCAAACTCAGCTATTGCGAGCTCTGCCAAGCTCCTCACATATCTGCAAAGCCATCAGCCATATTTCTACAAGGGTATTCAATCTTCGGCTTGCTGAAGATAGCCATTTATAGTTCATATAATATTTAATTTATTATACAACTCAATTCTCTCAAACTAATATATTTCCTGCATCCAAAAAACTCATTTGTTTCATAACTCAATCGGAACGTAAAACTTTTTCGAGCTTATAAGTTACATGCTTCAACTAGAAACTTGCATTGATCAGTAACTAGTTAATTGTACTTTATTCTGGCTAAGGGCAAAAGAAAATCACAGCAGTCCTGTCGACAACGGCTGCGCGCATGCGTTTTTGTTAACAATATGAATGAATATGAATATGAATATGAATAATGTACGCCATATAGCATACTCGTACAATATATTAAAGGTCAATGTCATATGTGATATACATATCTATATATATACTCAATATAGCCAAAGTATATAAGTGTACAAGTGTACTTCTGTGTTTAATTTTATTCATTTTATTCAGACAGGTCTCTGAGAGAAACAAAAAATTAATACAAAATTTGATTGAATTCATATTTTTTGCTTTTTCAAATTTTGAATAAATTCAACAAGATTATTAAATTCTTATGCATTTTTGTTCATCAAAGCAAAGACTTAACTAACACATACAATTGGATTCAAACACAGTTTCATTCGAATATTTTTTTAAATTGCTTTAATTCTAAATACTTAAACCTAGCTTCATGGAAGAACTGAATTACCTGAATTAGAGTCTTTTTATAGTTTTACCCCATTCGAACCCACGACTTTTACAATCATTAAATAACAACCAAAAAAAAAAGAATTGGCTCGATTTTAGCTAAATATAAACACATTCTCATACACACTTCACTGAGAATGAGGTCGCTAGAGAACAGCATTTGATTGGAAGCAAGCAATACCAAACGTTGTTTCAGTTTTCAGGCACATGTGTCTGCGAAATCAGATACACTGTACTTAAGCACCCATCGAATCAATTGTGTTCTATACGCTACACTTTAACTGCACCATTATGTAAAGCACAATGCTGGGTGGATTGATACGTGCACCGTTTGGCTTTGGCATCAAAAGTCAATAGCAATCAATTTATGCGAAATAAACGTGGTTAACAAAGCAGTAACATGTACACGAGATGGGGCAGCGAAACAACACGAAACACGGCACACGGAACAAGACCCAAATGCCCCATGCCAAAAACAACATCGACAGCAACAGCAACAACAATTTTGTAGTTTCTCTCATGCATACACAATTACAACAACATGCGCATAAACTTACTCTTACATAACATTCTTTGCATTGTTTTTTATAAGTTTACATATTATTTTTTTAGCACACAACAACTGTACAAAACAATATTTTCAAAAATACATAAAAAAGAAGATATCTTTTCGAAAAACGAAACTGAAGGAGAGAATTTAACAACCAAACAAAAATTGGGGCAAAAAAAAGGTCTTTAACAAGCATACATTAACACATACAGAAACAGATATAGATACAGATACAGATACAGATACAGATACAGATACAGATACAGATACAGATACAGATACAGATACAGATACGATACAGATACAGATACAGATACAGATACAGATACAGATACAGATACAGATACAGATACAGATACAGATACAGATACAGATACAGATACAGATACAGATACAGATACAGATACAGATACAGATACAGATACAGATACAGATACAGATACAGATACAGATACAGATACAGATACAGATACAGATACAGATACAGATACAGATACAGATACAGATACAGATACAGATACAGATACAGATACAGATACAGATACAGATACAGATACAGATACAGATACAGATACAGATACAGATACAGATACAGATACAGATACAGATACAGATACAGATACAGATACAGATACAGATACAGATACAGATACAGATACAGATACAGATACAGATACAGATACAGATACAGATACAGATACAGATACAGAGTACAGATACAGATACAGATACAGATACAGATACAGATACAGATACAGATACAGATACAGATACAGATACAGATACAGATACAGATACAGATACAGATACAGATACAGATACAGATACAGATACAGATACAGATACAGATACAGATACAGATACAGATACAGATACAGATACAGATACAGATACAGATACAGATACAGATACAGATACAGATACAGATACAGATACAGATACAGATACAGATACAGATACAGATACAGATACAGATACAGATACAGATACAGATACAGATACAGATACAGATACAGATACAGATACAGATACAGATACAGATACAGATACAGATACAGATACAGATACAGATACAGATACAGATACAGATACAGATACAGATACAGATACAGATACAGATACAGATACAGATACAGATACAGATACAGATACAGATACAGATACAGATACAGATACAGATACAGATACAGATACAGATACAGATACAGATACAGATACAGATACAGATACAGATACAGATACAGATACAGATACAGATACAGATACAGATACAGATACAGATACAGATACAGATACAGATACAGATACAGATACAGATACAGATACAGATACAGATACAGATACAGATACAGATACAGATACAGATACAGATACAGATACAGATACAGATACAGATACAGATACAGATACAGATACAGATACAGATACAGATACAGATACAGATACAGATACAGATACAGATACAGATACAGATACAGATACAGATACAGATACAGATACAGATACAGATACGATACAGATACAGATACAGATACAGATACAGATACAGATACAGATACAGATACAGATACAGATACAGATACAGATACAGATACAGATACAGATACAAGTACAGATACAGATACAGATACAGATACAGATACAGATACAGATACAGATACAAGTACAGATAAAGATAAAGATACAGATACAGATACAAATACAGATACATCTACTGACACCCCGAATCCCATAACAGATACAGTTACAATTACTTCTGCACACAAAGATACTTTTACAGATACAGTTCGTTTACTGACGCAGTTGCAAATGCTTGTGCGGATACAGATAAAGATACTTTTGCAGGCATAGCTACTGATGTTTTTACAGATGCAACTCAATATGTAGATATATTAGGAAATACAGATGCACATACACAAACAGATGCAAATACAATTGCAGTTACCGATAAACGTATGCTAGCGGCTATGTAAATTGTATAAATGGTATAAGAAAAAACTCAACCTGGTCCCACAATAAAAAACAGAGAAAACATACTTTTAAATCCCCTGCGTGCGAGTTTAATTGTATATTTATGTAACTCGTACGATAAATATATGTCATTTATGATTTCGACTAGACTCGAACCTTTTTCAAATTATTATAACTAACTAAAAAACTGCCTTAAAAGCTTTAAAATATTTTGAGTTTCGCTGTACTTGAACTTTTTGGTTAAAGTTTTGTTTTTGGCGTGCCTGTGCCGAGTGGAAACCAAATCTGCTAGAGTTGAACTTAAGCCTGAAACTAACAGATAATCAATTTATCCAACTGAGAATTGCATAAACAATGTCACGAGTGCGGCGAGCAATTTCTCGAACAAGCATTTTAGACATATCTACTAAAACAAGAAAATGTACCCAAAAGTACGCTCTCTAACGCATATCACTTGCATTTTTACGAATTTCGTTTCAATTCTTTTTGTCTTAGTTTAAAATTCGAATCCTGAACACGAGATACAAATTGTGTGTAACCAAAAACAAGAATCCAAGCCAATAGCAACACACACACATACACACACACACACACACACACACACATGACCCATATACCAAGCTCAGCCTGATCAGCTGATCTGAACTGCTCCACAATATAACTGAACCCTAGTCTTCCCCTCTACCCAGTACCGCCCCGCCTCGCCCTAAACCGCTTCCTTTTGGTTTTTAGTACGCTTTAGCTTTACGGCACTGCAGCAGGACAACAAAGAGCCAAAAGCCAAGCCAAGCCAAGCCAAGCTAGCAAAAGTTAAGATCTTGCTGTACAAATGAATTATGAACAGTCATTTGCCTTAGAACATGAATTTTACAACTTAAATTAAGTACTTAACTATCTTTTTTTCGAGTTAAACAGAATATCTCTAAACTACTTCACATCACAGCAAATCAAATATTTGTGAGAGGTTTCTGAACTGCTTACTGTATATAAGCTTATTTATTGTTACAAATACTTTGAACTTGATTTAAGATTATTTTTAATTATTTTTAACTTATTTTAAGTTTGTTTTCTCAGTTGTTCTCTGATTTTCTCGATATAAAAACATTAATGCTGCCCAAAAACTTACTGTACATTTGATGTTTTTGCATGCCCTGAAATTTATATGTATTTTCAACCCCCCCCAAAAAAAAAAAAAAAAGAAAAGAAAAAGAAAATGAAAATGAAAATTCCCTCGGAGTCCACCAATTCTTTATATTGTTTACAAATTGTTGCACGATATTGTTACAGAAATTTATCAATTTTGGTTTCTATCACAAAAAAAATGAAAAACAATTTGATTTGTGTGGATTGTAAAGCGCATTTTATTATTTTCCTAATTAGCAAAAATATATACGATATTTATAATTCAATCTGTGCGAAATTTTCCCTGATTTCCAAACAATTCTTGAACACTTTCTTAAACTTTCATTTCGATATATGAGAAACTATTTCGTTTGAGTTCGATTTGTGTTTATTGTTTTCATAATACTCTAAGCTTTAAGTGCTATACTAAGTTTACTAATAAGAACAAACATCTCTTTTTGCTCCCCATTTTGGTAATCGAAATCGTCGTCGATAAATTCGATTCGATTCGATGCTGGTATCGATATTTTCGTGTATAGGACTTTACATTGGATTTTTACTTTCGTCAATTTTGGACCGATCCTCGTTTAGCGTATAGAAAACGACCTGGTGTAGAAACACTATCGGTTGGATCAGAATTCATTAAGAATATTTGGGTACCTGACACCTTTTTTGTAAATGAAAAACAATCATATTTTCACATTGCAACAACCAGTAATGAATTCATTCGCGTGCATCATTCTGGATCGATAACAAGAAGTATTAGGTAAAACTATCAACTATCTTCCAGCAAATCAAATCAAATGCAATTTTCAAATTATTTTTAACAATCTATATGTCTATGTGTAAAAACAAAACAAAAAACAAAAAAAACTTAAAATGTACTGCGAATAGTTCAAAAACTATTTACTAACTAAAACATTTTTTTTTTTTGTTTTTGTTCCAATTATTTCTTAACCCTTTTTGCAACTTTGTACTGTTTTTGATGTGTGTGTATAAATGGATGTTGTAATTTACTAACCAAAAAAAAAAAAAAAACAAACAAAACAAAAACCAAAAAAACAATCGAAACGAAACGAAAAGTTCAACAAAATGAAAAACAGTTTTCAATCAAGTGAGTTCAATTGGCAAAAAAGTGAAAGCGATAGAAAGTTGGCGATATATATATATATATATACAACATATTCCGAGCGTTTAAATCAAAAGAATCTTTTGCACATTTCATCTCAACAAGTTTCCATGAAGTTTGCAAAACCGAAACCGAACCCCCTCACCCATCCGACCAGGCACCACAACGAGAACAAGAAGTAGCATTAACAACCTCAAGAGGGGTCTCCATGTGTCTTTTACACCGCCAAAAGGTTGCACTGGTCGCAGTAGCTACTGTAGCTACTGGGCATACAATTTTCTACTACCTTTAAACAAGAATCTGTCCAAAATCGCTACCGAGCTGCCGACTTACTAAACTAAACCAAATCAAAACTAAACTAAACTAAAATTAACTTATATGCCTTATCACGTATGCGTAGAACTTAGGCCAATTAACCTAACCATGTTTAACCTAGCGCCACTCGCCTCACTATCTACAACCAAATGCCACTCGTAACTCTCACTTACAAAATACAAATGTTGTTATTTACTAACATTTCTAATAACAATTATTATAATAACGAATGTTAACTCATAACCAATTGAACTCGCTCAGTTTCAAATACTAGAAAAACCAAAAAAAAAAATTATATATATATAAAATATATATATTAGACTTATAAGAAAATTACCCTAACCCCAACCTTAATGTCGTAAATTATTTGCTCCTACCCTCTGCTTATTTAATTGTTGTAACCATTAGCTGTGTTCATGCCAAACCTTTTCCACTAACATACTAATCGAATTCTTCTTCTCAACAAAACACAAAACAAAACAAAAAAAAAACGAAACACACAAAAAAAATGACCTTTCAGATTGACTATCACCGCATCGTGTCCCATGAATCTGCAGTATTTCCCAATGGACCGTCAACTGTGTCACATTGAGATCGAAAGCTGTAAGTACTATGCCCAATTACTAAACTATTCTATATCATTAAAATGCTACAAATTAAAGTAAATAAGGCAAAAAAAAAGAAGACAAAAGAAACTTAAATTAAATATCGAAATGAAAATTGTAATTGTATTTATATCGATATATGTATCGATAAGAAATAAACTCATTCAGAATATGAAGCACTTAACCAGAACCCGAGTGGCCAAAGTAAAGTGCCGATGTGCTTAGTGTTGGCTAACGCTCAAACTGCCCACTCGTCATGACCAATTTAGCATGTGTAGCTGCCTAGTTTAGTAATATCTGAAAACTTACGCAAATATATATACCATATATATATCTAGCCCGTAACTAATTGCATCTGCACCAAATTTTGGCCACTAAGCTTAAGGCCGCGCGCTGTTTGTTCAGTGTGGGCAGAAAATTGAAAAAGAAAGTGTTGCAAAATGCAAGCAAATTGTAAGTCAACGCACACAGAGAAGACAAACACACACACACACGTATTTACGAAATAAACACAATATTGATATTAGACGGGTAGTCAATATCTCCGCAGCGGACTATGTACTATATCATAATATATATATATACGTTTATTTTTTTACCTTGATCAAGTGAGGTCTTGAGGCACAATGCTCTGTTTTCTAGCTCTCAAATATTTGGTTTACAATAGTTAACTTTTTCTTAAAAAATCGGGCACACTGAAATAATATAAAAAAAAAACTTATTTAGCATTGCTTTTATTCTTACCTAGCTGTAGTTTTAGCAAGGGTTTACTGCGTACATATCCCCCAGTTTTTATGTTTTTTCTTTCGGCCATTTTGCACAGCCGCCAAATCAGCTAATAAATATATGAGTATATTTTTTCAACGATTTATCCTGCAGCATACGTATAACTCTTTTACTCTCATGTTTCATTCATGTGCCCCAAACAAACTCCCAGATAAAACTAAAACAAAAAAAAAAAAATTAAACATAAAAGCCAAAAAAAAGAATTCATTAGATTGGTTGGTTTTCGGTCGCCTTCTCACTTACAGCAACCGCAGAAGGCTCCTGATTTTGATCGATCGACTTAACTGAAACTAAGTGTGCTTAATATTAACTAACGTTATATTATACCATATATATTTTAAACAATTCAATGTATATTATTAACAAAAAAAAAAACGAAAAAGTACATACGCAGCACGCTTTTACTCAGAGGCCACACAATAAGCTAACCAATGTAAATACATTCAAATATGTTATGATTCTTTGTCAAGACACACGCCACAGAACACGGCAAAAACCAGATCTTAACTCACTGTAGTCTTAAGCTTAAGATACTTGTAAAAACACCCAAAACTCATGCTAAATCTGTGAGTGCAAAAATAAGTGTTACTAACCGAAACTAATCGTATACCTTAAACAAACCACCTTCACAATAACAACTACAACAACAATAACTACAACAACAACAAACCACAATTACAATAATTAATTAACTACCGCCCCCCCTCTTTGCAACAACTACAACAACAACAACAACCACAACCAGTCGGTTACACGATGCGAGATATCCGATATTTCTGGAGAGATGGACTGAGTAGTGTTGGCATGAGCAGTGAGGTCGAACTACCGCAGTTCCGTGTTTTGGGACACAGGCAGAGGGCGACCGAAATAAACCTAACCACAGGTACCCTCCATACATTACAAATTCATACCAGAAACCAAAAAAAAAAAAAAAAAATAACGTAAAAAAAAAAAAATACTACAACCAAACATTGTTAATGAATCACATTAACATATTTTATTTGTTGTGACAAACAGTTTTTCTTTTGATTTTTCTCATTTCTTTTAACATTTCGTAATCAATTTTTGTGTTTTGATTTCATTTATAAAGGGTTTTTAGCGCATAAATATATATTTATATATAAACAATATATATGTTCTATATATTAAACATACCAACAACATGCACATTTTCTTTAGTTTTGTGTTTCACCTATATCGAGTGCTAACTGTAACTTGTTCTACTAACTAAATACTAAATACATATATTATTGTGTTTCGAGTGTCCTCCTCTACTAACCTCTGTTGTGCCTACATCACTTTTGATTGATCATCTAAACAATTTAACAATAATTTATAAACGATTCGTAGTCCAGTGTTAGACAGTGTTAGACCAGTGTTAGACAGTGCTTTGCTAGGCGTTGCGAGTATGCCGTAAACTCTACTTCTTTTTTTTCCAACTCTTTTCCTTTTAATTATTGTGTGTACTTACGAGTCCAGTTCCAGTTTTGCCGTCCATTTTTGCGCATTTGCTTGGGTAGGCTAACCAACAACAACAACAACAAATATTTTATAATAAAAATTTCTTAAACCGAAAATAAATATACATAGATCTATATATATATTATACAGAAAACACAAGAGCACCATTTTCTGCCATTTCTAAGTGCTTAAGTGAAAAAAAAAAAAAACGAATACGAATTAAATAACTACTGCCAATAAGAACAAACAGTAGCTTTAAGTCTAGTCGCAAATTATTCAAAAATTCTTGAATGCTCTCTATGTTATGAATCCATAGCAACTATATATATATAACCCCTTTGTATAATACATGTAATGCGGAATTGTAATATATGAGCAAAAATATATTTCTAACTAAATTTAAAATGTGAATCAAAAAATATATTTGACAACACTTTAAGCAACAAGTTCTGAATGAGACTATTAATTTACGTAATAAAACAAATGACAAACAGCAAAAAAAAATCAAACAAAGAAAAAAAAAAATGCAAAATTGAAAAAGAAAAGCATAAAAAAAAGAAATTAATAAGACTAACTATGAAATTCTTTTTTTGCCAATCATTAATAGTCTCACGAAATGTATTTTTTGTTTTGTGCATATTTTTCGCAACGACAACCACACCGAACAACGCCGAACAACAACTGTACAAACAAAAAAATATAAATTCAATTAAATTATGAAAAATATATAAATATAAAATATATTATTATAAAAAAATATTTATGAAACTATAAAAAAAATATATATATACATAAAAAATAAATCAATAAATAAATAAAATAAATAAATATATATACAAAAATCAAATAAAAAATATATATTATCATATGAAAAAATATATGAAAATTGAAAAACATGGATCATCTCCAACTGCATATACACCACATATATATATGTATATATATAGTCGGCTACACGATGCGTGACATACGCTATAAATGGAACGAAGGCCCTAACTCGGTTGGTGTCTCGAGCGAGGTATCGCTGCCCCAGTTTAAGGTCTTGGGTCATCGTCAAAGGGCAATGGAGATCAGTCTTACCACAGGTACCTGTAGACGGTTACCGATTTTTTTACAAACTTTACTTTTAACTTTATATATACATACATATATATATAAATATTTATATATATATATATACATATACTTATTTACCTTTACTACCTATACATACACATATGTTTCATATGTATGTATATACAAAATAGTGCTGATGACGACTTCTATTAATACTTATATATATATATATATATATAAATTTAATATATATATAAAGGTTTTGCGTTTCCATCTTTAGTTCGATTAGTTGCTTAACCTTAACATTTGCATTCTTTACAACCCAAATTATTTTGATAAAGCACTCGTACTTCTTCATCTAACTAGAACGACAGTCAGCTATACATATATAAACAGATATATATATATATATATAAATATCAATATATATATATCGGGCTAAATCGAGTTCGAGTGCAATTTGATCTGAGGTTTCTAATTGAAAATGGCAACAAAATTAGACAAATGCATGTATGCATAATATTTTGCTTACTCTCAACTTACATTTAACTAACGCTCAAATCAATCGGAGTCAGAACCAAAACTAGCTTCGGTCCGCCGAAGATTCTATACACTTGCAGATAGTTAAATACTCGAAAACGAGTATCTGTTCGACTTTGCCTGTTATGACTATATATTGTAGTTGTCCGATGCGACTGAATCCGATGAATATGTCACCATGAGCTTAGACAAATATATCAACCATATTTTACAGACTCATCTTCATAGCAAGTCGAGTTCAATTAGGAACATCTGCAAGCTTATAGCGAAGCAAATGCATATACAGCCTGAGCGCAATTTAGAGCTACAGATAAAAACATATATCAATATTTAAGCGCAAGACTAATGCATGTTAAGCTAGCTGAATTTACTTACTTTAATATTAATTTAGTATTTCACTTAATTCACTTATTTTCTCAGTTTCGTTTCGAGTTGATTCAGTTTTCAGTTCACTTATTTTGTCATTAGTTCATAAACAAAATTAAATTATTGGCAATGCCAAACGAATCAACAAAATAGTAATTGAACAATTTTCTCATGCTCCGTCAAAAATCTAAAAAATTTAAACAGCAAAAATTTGAAAGCAAAAAAAGTAAAAACGAAATCAAACTGAAATTGACTTAGCGACATTTGTGTCATGGAAAGCATTAAGTAAAATATATTAATATGCAAAATAAATACTTACATATATCTTCTATATATCTATTGAACACCAATACAAATAAAAAAAGTATAGCGATGCTTAACTTTATATGGCTTTTGTACTTAGATAATCATCCTTTCGATTTATGCCTGGCATTCAGACTCGTACAAATTATATATTATATTTTCCAACACATACACCAACACACACACTTGACTATATACATTATTATCTAGTCACATTTAGTTTTTACTAAAAAATAATACATAAAAAAAAAAACAAAGTAATTGCCAAAATTGAAAACGCTATCGAAAATTCATTAGCATAACCCAACAACAGCAACAATCACATTAATATTGTAAAAATATACAAAAAAAATACACAGAAAATACTGCAAAAACATTAAAATCGAAAAAAATACAATCTAGATTTTTAAAACTTAAATAAAAACTAAAATCCATTTTTTTGATAATTAGCAGAAGCAAGATACAAAATCTCCAAAAAAAAAAAAACAAATATATATATAATTAATAATCTAAAACAAATATGAAAAATATACAAGATACGCCCTCCCAAGCATGCTCTCATCTTTAAAGTTTCCTTTCAAAAAAATACAAAAAAAAAAATATATATATATATATGTATATATATATTTATAACATACAAATTCTCTCAGACCAAAAATCATTTGTGCCTAACTGGGCCTTAGGCTAGCTCTCTCTCTCTCTCTCTCTCTCTCTCTCTCTCTCTCTCTCTATGTCTCGCTCTCTGCTCATGTTAACTTTTTCTTTCTAATAATTTTCCCGAAGTTTTTTTTCTTTTTGTCTCTCGCCCGGCCACTTTTAAGAGGTTTTCGCTCTTTCATTTCATTTTAGTTACTCGTTTTAATAAATATCCTAACATACTCGTTTACTCAAACAGTTTGCAGTTTAGCAAGTAGGCAACTGCAGCGTTAAGTATTTCATCTAATTAGCACTAAACACACAACTTTAACTACATAATGTTATTATAATATTGCAGTTCCCATTATCATATACATATATTGTTTGGTTACTCGATTTTGCTTTTGTTGGTATTTACGTACTAAAACATACACAAATTTCTTAAAGTACCATATGCAAACCTAACATACTCTTAAATTAACTGTCGAGGCGATAGATTTATCGATAGATTTATCGTAACAGCGATGTGCTTGCAACCCTCAAGTTGCGGCCATCGTCAGTTGCGGCTGTCAGTTAAATGCGCTCATTATTTCCGAAAACGCTTAATTCATTCGTAATGTTTTCCAATTAGTTAATTTAATTTATATTTAATTTATTTTTATTAATTTTCTGTTGAGTGTTGAAAATTAATATTGATAATTGTTACTAATATACATAAACAAATTATGATTTAAAAAAAAAAAAAAACCAAAAAAAATATTCGAATTTTTAGCGAAATATTTACTAATAATATATTACTCTCTGCTCTCTTTTTCTCTTTCTCTCCCCAAAAATCTCTTTTCATATGCTCGATCTTTGAATAACTTGAACTCAAAAACGAAAACAATTTACAATTTCTATTCACAATTATTAAATAATAATCATAATAATAATTACTGACTGTATATATATAAAAATATGTGTGTGAACAGGCAACTATTCGCGCTTAGCCTGCGAAATACAATTCGTGCGTTCGATGGGCTATTATCTTATACAAATCTACATACCCTCTGGACTGATCGTTATTATATCATGGGTATCATTTTGGCTCAATCGCAATGCAACGCCGGCGCGTGTGGCGCTCGGTGTGACAACCGTGTTGACAATGACCACTTTGATGTCGTCAACAAACGCAGCGCTGCCAAAGATTTCGTACGTCAAATCGATTGACGTCTATCTGGGAACATGCTTCGTTATGGTCTTTGCCAGTCTACTGGGTAAACAAAATCTAGCGAAACCAAAATAACACATTTACCAATACACCCCCCCTCAAAAAAAAAAAAAAAAAAACAAAAACAAAAATGAACAGAATTTAAATTACAAACCAATCAAGTAGCCAAAATACAATTAAATACCATAAATTCACACAGCACCACACAAAAGCATCATCTATACGAACACACACATACCCTGTGAAATTTTGTGTGTTGCTTTATTTCTCGAAATTTTTTTGATACACATCTCGTATTTCATTAGTTTTAGTTTTTGATTTCTTACCTTTGGCGAAAGGCACTCGAACCAGCCAATATGCCAATATGCCAATACTTAACACCTTGCCACTCTACTTCGCTTAGCGTTTTGCAGCAAAAAAAAACTACCACAGATACAAATACACTGTCTTTCAACAGTCTTTTTTTTACAGCAAAAACCAAAACAAAAATAACTATATATTAACAAACAGAAAAGTTCAAGTACATTTTAAATGTGATTTACTTGAGCTTTTGATACAACTTTTTGAGTAGATTTGTTATTGCTCAACAACTTTTCCCTCAACTCAATTTAATTTCCACAAAATTCATTTAATGCTGGTAGTAAAAAAAAAAACAATATATATATCTATATATGTTTCAAATCTATTTATCGAGCCGATCGGCCTTGTATGTAAATTATCCAAATTTTCGTACTGCTCTGGAAATATATTTGAAACAATTCTACTACAGTCCAGTCCAATGCTCTAACTTTTTAACTTTCTCTCTTAAAATCCTAACATCTTAAGCAACAACTCACACTACTTTTTACCTACAACAAACTCTCAACTCAGGTCAACAACAATGAGAAAAAAAAAAACAAAAGAAAAAAATGATAAAAAAAATCTCTTTTTTCGTATTTGTATGTTATTGTTAATTTCTTCTATACAAAGAAACAATGCAACTATCATCTAAAGAAAATGTATGCAAATTCATAGATACGCGCTCTGCCCCACCCCCCGAAAACAGTAGGGGCACAAAATTTCCAAGCGAAAAGTTTTGCACACACACACACAAACACGAACACCAACACACACCCGACACACACACACACACACCTAGTGCACTAGTTAATACACATGCAGAGCTTTTAGAATACCCTTAAAACAATCGAAGCATGCTTCTGCAAGTAAACAATAAAAGCATTTGGAATATTCAGTGAAAACCGCCTGCAAAAGCAGCTTAAAGTAGACACCTACATACACTACTCCTGTCAGCCGGAAGCTAGATGATCACAGTGAATAATCGACTTTATTTGTGTTTTCCAACACTGTTTTCTGTACTTTTTAACACTTGATAAGCAGTAAACGCTGTTAATCAAAGTGGAAGAGCCAAAAATGGCGCCAGCTTCAATTTGTAAGCCAGAAGCGATTATTTAGATTATCTCAGTGATTAATAGACTTTCTTTGTGCTTTCCAACACTGTTTTCTGTATTTTTTGACATTTCGTAATGAGTATTACGAAGTGAACGCTGTTAATAAGAGAAGAAAAGCCAAAAATTGCGTCAGATTAGATTTGCTTCAAATTTTCAAATTAAAAGAAATTAAATAGAAAATACTTAAATTAAATCGTGTACTAGCAAAAGATTGTACTTTACCTTCATTTAACCTTACTCGAGTACTCACAGAAGACCACTCCTAGGAGCATCTTTTGAAGTTTACTTTAATCCGACTCGAATATTTACAGAAGGAGCATATATTAAAGTCTAATTTAGTCATACTTAAGTACTCATAAAAAGTCGAATCTTGGGAGCATCATGTAAAGTCTACTTTATTAACATATAAGAGAACTCGCAGAAGTTTACTTTAACCATGCTCGAATACTCATAGAGCTCTATTGAAGTCAATTTTAAAGATACTCTAATACTCATATTAAAGTCTACTTTATGCAGCCTTGCAGTCAAATCTGAATAGCCCAAGTTTATATATGCCAAAAATTATTTTAGCCTTTTAGCTTTACTCGTACTTAACTATTATTGTAGTCGCCTCAGGTTGACATTGTGTTCCACGCAACAAGCAAAACAAAAACAAAAACAAAACATTACAAAAACTTAAAAAAAAAAACCAAAATGAAAATGAAAATGAGAATGAAAATGAGAATGAGAATGATTCTTGTCATCATGATAACTGCATAGAGAAATGCACATGAGCGAACACATTTCAACCTGCAATGGTACCCAGATATTAATATACGCCCAGCTTCCACTCTAACGCAAAGCCTACGAACAGCCTAAAAACAAAAGCTACTTACCATACATAAGAAAAAAAAAATCGAAGAAAAGAACAAGCAAAAAATATGAAATTCAAATCTGAAACGAAACAAACACAACGATTCTGAAATCTCCAGCCCAGGGGTACGAGCTAAAACCGAGCGCATAAAAAACCAATATGAATACCAGCATGCCTTGCGTCACACCTGGCTTGAGTCGCGATTGAATTGAATAAAATAGAAAAAAAAAAGTCAAAAAAGAAATAAGTAAAAAAAGAAAATACACTACACTGTATATAGAGTCCAAGATGAAGACGAAGTGCCGGCCATGCATAGCTGAACATATATCTCAAACCTCAACAAAATTTGCCCTGATATATTTCTATATCTATATAATATATAACATTTGGCCTGTCAAGTCTGCGCCATTTAAATGCGTGGCCCAGACATGACAAGCTACAAATGTTGACGCCCGGGCAAACTCTCCAGACTTGAGGTTAGGTAAGATACGAGACCGAAAGGGTCTCCCTCTGTTTCCATTCTCTATGCATTTACAGCAACGGCGCTTGGAGATCGGGTAAGTAAACGCGTTCGTTACTTATTCTAAGAAACTATTTACTCACACCCAAAAAAGAGCCCTACCCCAAACATTGTTGATCAAAACCAAACAGTTGCGCTCGTCGAGAGCACGCCTCATAGCGCTTATCCTGTAAGTCTTTTGCGATCCATATATATATATATATATACCATATATACGATTCGTGCATGTGGTCCACTTTAGGATTCGACATATGTGTATTACTCAAATAGACGGGGCGAAACGAAAAGCTGGAAATGTGTGTGTCCCCTACACAGGCGACTGTTCAATGAATTTGCATTTAAGGCACGCACATAAACATTTTCCTTGAATGATGGTCTCAACAGCATATATAAATTTAATACATAAACCATTTGGCCAACAAATTAAATATATTTTTGTTTTTGTTATATTATTCGTTCACTCATTTCACAACAAAATAGAAACAAAAAGAACAACAACAGCAACAATAACATTAGCAGCAGACAGACAGATACTGACAAGCACACACACACGCACACTCACACGCACACGCACACGCAAACACACACAGACACACACATACACACGCACACGCATACACACACACACGCACACACATACACTTACATTTAGTCGTTACACCTTTATTGCTCTCTATCTATCTTTCTCTGTCTGTACTTACCTATCTTACCTCCACACACACCAACACACGCACACACACACACACACTACACCTGCTTCTACGCAGTTTTTTTTTTTTGTTGCTTGGCTTACGAACAGAATATGAATTTATTCAATTTTTATTTAACAACCAACCAACGAGAACAACAACAAAAACACACGCACACAAACACACAAGAGACGTTGATTATTTATACCCTGTACCCTGGAAAATTGTGCCGAAGGGGGATAACAAGCTAATCGTTTTAACAGTCTGTCTTTTTGTCTTTATGAATATATCGCAGCTATGAGACTTTTTACAATGAACCAGGCTCTCAGTACTAGACATTCCACTCAAAAGAGAAATATAGATGAAAGAGTCTCCCACTTCTTTAGTTTGATATAAATTTTAATGCTTTGATTTACTTCTAGATTGCTCAAAACACAACTTAACTTACTTTCTACAATATCTTTTAATAATTATATTAAAATATTTACGAATATATTCAAGAATCGCAACCAGTTTAATCTTCTTCTGCTAACATTTGATATCTTGGTACAGGGTATCGGCCAGTCGAGCACACTCGTCTGTTGTTATTCTGACGTTTATTACCCTGTGTAGTGCTTACCCAAAGCCCTTTCCCAGTTTTTCTTTTCTTATTACATATACACACATATATATATTATCATATATCCTAAATTTTCTCTAAATCACAATATTTTTTGCCATTTATCTTGCTTTCAATAATATATTTGCATAATATTTATGTATTTATATATATATTTATACGTACATTTACAAATGAATGCCAAGAAAAAAAAAATTAATATTTTTCAAAAAACGCTCCATTTTCCCCCCATTTACCGTTCCAAACCGTACTTCAAAATTACAAACTGTGCAACCATCCAACTAATGACAACAACTACAACTACAACAACAACAACAACAACTACAACAACTACAACTACAACAACAACAACAACCACCACCAACAATTATTCAACTATCAACAATCATCTTCAAAAAAAAACCTCATGTGGAACGCGACTTGATTCAAAATTTTGTGCATCCGCATTAACTCCTAAATTTTCCTCCCCCCACACCACCACGTACCGCCCGCAACCGTCCGTACCCATTATCAAAATTGTCGCATTACAAAATATAAACTGACAAAAATCAATTCGAAACTGTATCCAATATCCAAAATATCATATCGCAATCGTAGAATACGCCACCGTCGGCTATATGGCAAAACGAATTCAAATGCGAAAACAAAGATTTATGGCGATCCAAAAGATAGCTGAGCAGAAAAAGCAACAGTTAGATGGTGTGCAGCAGCAGGCCAATCCGAATCCGAATGTCGGAGGCGGACCCGGTCCTGAGCATGGACATGGGCATGGTCATCATGCCCACAGCCATGGTCATCCGCATGCGCCCAAACAAACAGTGAGTAACCGCCCAATCGGCTTTTCAAATATCCAACAAAACGTTGGTACGCGCGGTTGCTCGATAGTGGGACCCTTGTTCCAGGAGGTGAGATTCAAGGTCCACGACCCAAAGGCACACTCCAAGGGCGGCACATTGGAGAATACGGTAAATGGCGGACGTGGCGGTCCCCAATCGCATGGACCCGGCCCAGCGCCCGGCGGCGCTGGTCCTGGCGGTGGCGGCGGCGGCGGTGGCGGTGGTGGCGGACCGCCAGATGCTGGCGGTGATCCGGAGGCGGCAGTCCCAGCACATCTACTACATCCGGGCAAAGTAAAAAAGGTAAAGGTAAAGATCGTACTCGATACGGCACTACCTCAAAGTCGAACTTTATATTTATACTTAAATCAAGATAATTATGAACAAATCAAGAATTTGACTATTTTTGTTGTTTTTCTTTTTCAGTATTATTTTCTGCTTAAAAGAAGAATTTTATGCCCGAGCCATGTTTTCGTTGATATTTTTAATAATTCTTTAATTATTTATTGGTTTTGTTTTTCAGTATTCCTATTTTACTTAAATGAAGACATTTACGCACAAATCGAGACTTGATATAAAGTTCTAGAATTCTTTACTTGTATGTTCTTTTATTTGCAGTATCCTCTTGTACTCAAAAAAAGATTTTATATGCATAAATAATAATTTATTTTATGTTTTGAATAATTCTTTACTTAAGAAATTTATTCGTTTTAAGAATTATATCCTTTTTTAAGACTTCCAGCCTTTTGTACTTAAAACAAGATATACAAATCAAGAATATTTTTTATATCTTTTATCAAGCTAAATGGGAATTTTTTATGACATCAAATTTTAGTTCTATAGTTCTAGTCTTACTTTAATTTAATTTCAAATATCTCGTGCAGAGTGTACTTGAATTTTAAAGGTTCTTTTTCGCTCGATTATTTTATTGTGGATTTATAAATTGTTCTTTGAGCAATATTTTTAAGTTTGAACCCAGAATTGTTTGTTTTATGCAGTCTTCTGAAATCGCACTTGAAGTTTAAGGCTTCTTCGTTCGTCTTTTTATGCTTCAAGTTTATTTTTAAGAATTTTGATTTTTATATTTACTTAATTTATTTACTTAAACTTTAAAATCGCCTTTCGTTCGTTTGCCGTGTTCAGTTAACCGAATCTCGAAAAGTTTTTTTTTTTTTTTTGCTTTCCGTGTTGATTTCTAGAATATCCTATGGTATATTTTAATAATTTGTGATCCTCTCGCAGGATATTAACAAATTGCTGGGCATAACGCCCTCGGATATTGACAAATACTCGCGCATTGTGTTTCCCGTGTGCTTTGTGTGCTTCAATCTGATGTACTGGATTATCTACCTGCACGTGAGCGATGTCGTTGCCGACGATCTTGTCCTGCTCGGGGAGGAATAAATGGCCACGCCCCCCAAGGAGGCGACGGCAACAAGTGACAACAGCGCACAAGAGAGTTAAACTGTGCAAGGCGCTGAAAAACAACAAAAAAAAATAAAAACAACAAAAAATTAAAGCAAAACAAAAAAAACAGATGATTAACCAAAAACTAATTTTAACTAGCGATATGGAAAAATGCAAAAGGCAACATATTATTGTTAAATACTAAAAATAAAAATTTAAATAATAACAAAAAAAATAAAGACACACATATTACGGACGAGAGTAAAGAATATTGTTAAATAGATTTACGCAAAATAAAAAAAAATTTAAAAAAAAACTAGCATAAATAAAGAAAAGGAAGACGGGGAGCAGCAACAACACGATGAATAATCAAAAGCAAATAGTAGAAAATATAAAAGGTGCAGAAGAAGCAGAATTAATATAAAGATATAAAAAAAACGGAACAAATAGTAAGGATTAATAAAAGCACAGTCAACAGAAATTAATTTCAGACTCACATAATTCAAATTTTTAATACACCCGATGCAATTGACATAAGCTAATATAGAAAACCTAACTGCAAAGAAAAGCTCTTCAAAAAGAGAAAAGAAGAAGAAAACCAAAGTAAAAGAAACATTTTTTGAGTGATTTTCAACTAGTTTTCATTTGGTTTGTAACAATTCTTACTTAGCCCTTACTTCCCTCCCGAGCAGACAGTCAAATGGTCTTCCTTAGTTTAGGCGAATACTAAATTTAGTTTATGGTTTTTGAAACAAAACCCCCTCGCCCCCGTCCCCCAACCCGCACACACCACTTCACACGAATAACGTCTATGGCATCGAAAATATGTTTCTTGATTTTTCAAAACTGAACACTTTTTAGCGCTTCCAAGAAAAATGGCCAAATTTTGTAGGAAAAGTGTAAAACAACAAATTTTTTCAAATTAATCAAATCATTTAATTAATTTAAAGCGAATGAAAACCAAAAATAATAATACTACTCTAAAAAAATATATAAAAAAATTTTTAAATAATTTGCACATAGAAAAATTATACAAATAAATACAAAGAAAATTCTTATGCATTACTATCAAAGGCACCTTTTGTATGCGGATGGCATCGGGCATATAAAAAAAAACCGAAACAAAAACAAACAAGCAAAATAGTTAATTCAAGTTTTAATAAACGATTTTATTTTCAAAAACTTTTATAAAGAAAAAATAACGCAAACAAATGCAAGAAGGGGAATAAACCGAATATTTTAATTGCACACCACAAAAAATAATAAAAGCCAGACAAACTTTGCGACACAATTTCAAAAGCAAAGTGGATAAGAAACCAATGCTAAAGTCGGCTGTGCTCGACTAGAAGATGCCCTGAACCCAGCGAAAAGTTACCCTATTCACGTTTTTTTAGAAGCGATGCGCTTCTTCTTCTTCTATGCCCTGTTCCTTGTGGGAACTGCATGCCTGTGTAACTTCGGTGTTTATAGTCCGATCTTAATGAGAGTTTCAGGACTTGAATATGACACCCAAATGTGTGCGCATGCCAAAGCGCAAGGTGTTCACCTTTTAATCTAATATATTTTTAGATCTTTAACCAATATACCTTACGGCTATGACCCAAACTCCATTTCTTAGCAACGATATTTCGCAATATGGTGAAAGTGCGAGAAGTGGAATGTATATATATTCCAAATTCCCAGACTCTTTCTCGTGTCATTTTCAATGGGCTCAGGGTAGATGAAAGAAACACACAATAGACGAGTTACGAATCGAAAATAAATAGAGTTATGTACACAAATTTGAATGAAACTGCCTAAAAAGAAACTTAGCCCGTAAGCATCACAAAATAGTTGTTCAACAATGACGATAGTTGATAGTTAAATTGATTTTTATGACGTGGGGACGTTTAAGATATATTATTTACAAAATGTATATAAAAACTGATGAAACAGCAGCAGAAGAAACGCAAAGTAGGAGCAAAACTTCGCAAAATGAAAATAACAATTAATTAAAATTAGTTAAATGTAATTACAACTAGTTAAAGCAACTCAGACACAAGTTCAAGCAGTCAATAAAGCGATAAATACATATAAACAATGCACCATTTAAGCTTAGTATAATACTCACACACACACACACACACACACAAACACACGAACACACAACACACACACATAAGTACATTTGAAGTTTTGGTAAAGTTCCTCAAAAAGTATTTAGTTAAAAGTGAGTTTTAGTTTGAATACCAAAACCTAGCACAATACTGAGTAAATTTAACGAAATCACGAATACCATCAAAAAAAAAAAACAAGTAAGAAACAAATATATCATCATAAAGTTTTAATTTATTAGTTATGATAAGAAGAATAAGAAGAAGAAGAGGCAGCAGTAAGCTATATCTAGGCCTAAAGTTTTTTGTACAGTCAGCTGAGTGGGAGGGGCGGCTATATATGAGTAGTTGTATGTATATGGATAATATATAATAGTTATATACAGACAGACACACACATATACCTATTATATAGACAAACACACACACACACACACCCACACACAGACACATCTGCATATAATATATGTATGTGTACTTTATGCAATGAGTATATACAATAACATAACGTATTTAAGCACCTATATGTAGCACGAGTTTTTTATATGTAAACCAAACAAACCAAAAAAAAATTACAAACAAACAATTAATTTTATATATATATAGTATATGCAAAAAGTACTCCCGTAATAAGGTATACTGGCAGTGTAAGCTAAATGAAATTACAATTCTAGGCGCAAGACTGTCGATAAATTGAGGAATATTATAGACAAAGAACAAGAAGAAGAGCAGACAGATATAGACAAATAGCTAAATCTACACAGTCAACAGAGGAACAGCTACCCTTAATACCTATAACGCATACACTTAACCTAACATAACCTAACTAATGATACATATAGATACATCTGAAGGAAACAACAACAAGCAAAAATTACTTTATTAACTTTCTAGACACACACACACACAAACACACACACACACACACACACACACACACACACACACACACACACAAATGCACGAGAACACACTCACGTATAAATTAAGTGAAAGTAAAGCAATTGAACTTTTACCTAGATTTTTGTATGATCAGTTGATCCAAGTACTTACCTACATGGATTTGAGATAAGCTGCAACTGCAATTGATTTACACAAATACACCCGAAAGAAGAAGAAATATAAGAATTCAAATAAAACGAAGAAGAAAGTTTGTCTTCGGCATGCCGAATATTGAATACCCTTGTAGAAGTTTGGAGGTTATATGAAAGAGAAACAAAAAGCATTCTAATGGCAGAGTTTGCAGTTAAATGAAAGGCAACTGAGATGCTTTTTATAGCAGAGCTTGGCTAAGATATCTTGAGATTCCAAAAACAATCTCTTCGAGCTTTTTTTTCAAAGAGAGAGATAAGTTATGGTTAATGTGTGCAAAGCTTGGTAGAACTCGTAAGCGCCAAGTTAAGTGAAGAAATCTTTCGAAACATACAAGTTTAGTGATCCGTGTTCAATAAGATATGCCCCATATATAAGAAGCAACGTAAGACTATTCAATTTCGGACTTTTCAGGAAGTTTTTGAAGAAGGAAAGTGTGTTTTTTATGCCAGAATTTAGTTTTTGACCCATTATGCCTATTGCAGCTGTTTAATATATCGTCCGATCCGGAAATTTCCGACCTATGCACGCCAGCAAAGACTTGCCTAACGAACCTGCCATATCTACCGATATGTTGTTGCTAATCAAGAATATATATACTTTATAAGCTCGCAGATGTCTCAAGTCACATGATTGTAACACCTAACTACAAGGGTATAATGAAAAAGAAGAGGAAGAACAGTGAGAACAGCAATGAAAAACTATTCTTAGGAACACAACTTTTTCAGTACATAGTTAGAATCAGGCAGAAAACTCGACTCGAACGCGACAGCAAGTGAAATCGGTGATAAAAACAAAGAAAAATAAATATAAAAAAAAAAAAAAAACAAAAAGAAAAGCACATTTAAATATAAATATATATGTATAACTGGCATATACTATATACATATATTTTGTAGCTATACAGGTGACGGAATTCAATTATATTGCCGAGAAAAAAAAAACTATGAAGAAAAAGAAGAAGAAAAACAAAAATAGTTAAATCAAAATGTTTATAAATTGAAAAATTGGATACATGCATAAGCGATATATGAGGTTTATCTGTAAAACGTAAAACGATAACAAGAAACGATTACCAAAAATCGATAACAACAACAACAAATAGCTGCTCAACGGTTTCGGAGCGTATTTCCAAAAAAAAAAAAATGAAGCATTTTAGTTGTAAAAAAAAACCAAGATAAATAGCTGAGAATTTGTATAAAAATAAACCAAAAAAAAATGGAAAACAACAAGAACAATTAATGAATTAATTAAGTTAATGTATTTACTTTTCATATTCTTTTTTACTCTACACCTAGTTAACAATATAATTTGTCAAAAATGAAAACAAGAAATGACATTTAGTTGGCTATAGTGAAATTTTTTAATGGAAATATTTAAGAATATTTATAAAAATTAACAAAAACAAAAAAAGAAATAAAAACTGAAACAAGAGGCAAAGCATTTAGGACAAATAATGACACAAGCCCTTTAATAAATACACACACACACACACACACGCAAAGAAGAAGAAGAAAAAACAAAAATGAATAGAAGAAGAAGCATAAGAAACCAAAGAAATGTTTGAAGCATTTTTGGTGCCGCCTTTTTAGAGGGCGGCACCAGACACCAAAAACACATTTTATAATGACTCTGAGAAATGATATGTATACATATACGCAGTACACATATACACATATATATGCATATGGTATGACATAGTTTACATGTATGTGCATGATGTAATAATTACATTGTGCATGTACATTATGTATAGTTAATGTATGTATATTATATATGTATGTATGATGGTCTCAAAAAATGAAATTCTAAAGTATTTAAATAAGCAAAACCAGTTAAAAATTTAAGGCATTTAGTTCAAGGCAACACACACACACACACATAAACACGAACACACACACACATAACCATTCATAAGCGCGCACCAAACATTTTTTAAATGCAAACCAAAGTAATATAATGATAAAATGTTAATAAAAATAATTATAATTATTAATATATAGAAACCATAATCCCCAACACAATACCAAATACAATTGGAAAATTGCACAAAATAAATTGCAAAATTTAAATTGAATATTTAACTTTCACACACACACACACAGACATCCACTCACTC